AATTTTTATTTCCCATAGATTCTACGGTTTATACCTATTTATCCTTAGGGGGTACGACTTGCTCCAACTTACCCTAATGAAAAATTTATATAGTGAAAGACTTCCTGTATACTTTTTGTACCGGTAGTAGTAATGGTCATTACATAGGATGCAGAGAGTGTTTCCTCTATAATAATTAGTAGCACCTTTTGAATTGATGGAAAATCTGTTTTTTTTAGGCATCAATAGGCATTTTTAGACGTCTGGAAGGTCATCATTCAGTAATGGTACACATCCTCTGATCATCATTCAAAGAATTAATCCAGGAATGATGAATGAGGAATTGGATAATATTATGTCAGATAAACTAAGAAAATTCATCCGGATTTCGTCAGTCATCAAAAACGGCCCACTCAAATCTTAAACATCCATTTTATTTTTCGAAGTAATTACCATTGGCTTCAGTGACATGTTCCCAGTGATACACAAGCTTATAAATGCCTTTTTGAAAAAAATTCTTTTTTCTGGAGTCCCAAAATTGTGATATAACCTTTTTGAGATCATCGCGTTTTCGGAACTGCATTTCCCACAGGTGGTTAGTTATCCATGGCCAAAAACAGGTAATAGTCCAATAGAGCGATGTCCGAAGAGTGGGGCGGCTGAGGCAGAAGTTCCCAGCCCAGTGTTTTGATGATCACCTCTTTGGGCGCTTTTGCCGTATGAAGTCTAGTATTATCGTCCAGGAGGAGAATTTCACTTCTGTTGACCAGTGTTGGATGCTTCTGGTGCAGTGTAGCTGAAACTCTCTTTGCAACTGTAATGAGTAGACCTCGGTTGTTATGGTTTTTCCGCTTTCTGGAAATTCATAGTGGACTATGCCAGCATTGGTCCGCCAAACACACACCATTACCTTCTTTTGGTGAATGTCCAGTTTAGTGGTCAAGGAGGCTGAACCAGAAGTCGACCAACGATGTTTCTTCTTCCGGTTATTATGCATGATCCATTTTTTTGTCACAAGTCAAGATTTGGTCCAAAAACGAGGCTTTATAATGGCGCGACAATCAGATTTTCAAAGACAATCAGATTAGAATGGAGCTAATTTTTCTAGGACAAGACATGAGGAATTCGCTTGCTTAGTTTCCATCTCATCCCAAGGTTATGAAAATATGATCAAATGGTTTCGTCAGATGCTCTGAACCTGTGTGCAAGCTTCTGGCGGGTTTGTTGAGGATTCTGCTTGATTTTTCCCTCCAGAAGGACTTCACCTCCAGCTGACACGATTAGATGGATGAGTAACACGAAGCTTGCCTTCAAAGTTCTAGTCTTTGAAAGAAATTCAGCTGAACTTTTTTTGAGCACTCCATTCACTCATTGACGTCTCTCCAAACCCGGAGCATATTCTTCCAACGGCCATTGCAGCTTTGTTTCCTAATTTGTGTTCGTAAAGGAAAATAAATCTCCTTTTCCAACAACATGTTCTTTCGAAGATTGCGCTTCTACAAAACTGATAGCTAAACGCGCGATGCACTGAACAACTCTATTGAATAAGTATTGAAGGGCTTATAAATATATGACGTTATCTGAATGAATATGCCCATACTAAAGCGTCCAAAAAATTATTCTAAAAAACCACACTAACTTTCTTGTTTACCTGATAACACAGGCGGACAGTGAAATCAGCGGCAAAGAAGAAGAAAAAGCGTCTTTAACTTACAGTAAGTTAAATGAATTATTGCAAAAGGAACTGCCTGCTTTTGCAGTGGAGATTGACCCCAAATGAAGAAAGAAGACACTATGACAGGGATTTGAAAAACTCTGCGCTCCTTAGCGCGAAGCTTTTAAAGAGTTGTTAAAGGTCATTTTCCGAAGCAAAAATCTCAGGTTTTTTTAAAACGTATTTGTATCATACATTTATGAAGCATGAATAATAATACTTTAAATTAACATTTGCTTCATATCTTCCTTATAATTATAACAATATTTAGGTTTACGTAAGTTATGCATACTTCCTCAACCTGAAATACACCTAATTCATTTTTTCCATAGAATGTTAACTTTGCGAAACGCCGTTTCGGCGTACGCGCAATGACCTCCGCTTTCGGAAATGATTTACTGTATTCATAGGTTAAATAAAATTTTTGTAATTAAAAAATATTTTACTTTCTTTCATTACTTGAACAATTAAGTTTTCGAAAGCAAAGGTATTTTTTTTATACACTTTGGCTACGCTAAACATGATGTGTCGTATTTGTCAGCAAAAACCTGAGTTTCTTATTAATTTAACAATAATCGTATAATTATACATTCTTTAAAATGTATATTATACATTCTTGAAAATGTATACTTTCGCTTTGTCGTCGACGAGCATATATAAATCGCCAGCTGAACACTTGGTGAAGGGGAGAGTCTGAAAAAGTCAGTAAAATACTTATCTATGATATTTTGCGAATTGTTTTTAGCCGTTTCCCAAATTCATTATTCTTCTCCGTGGGTTAGTGCAGAAACGGTCCGCAGTACAATTAACTAAAAAACTCAGTTCTTAATATAGGTAATGTTCAAAATTTCGCGTTTGTAGGCTAAACTTGTTTATTAAAACCACGAATGATATCGAATTGTTTTCACTTTGAGGATTTTGTGTCTTGAGAAAACTGGACATTGTGTGTGTGTGTGATTATGGCAAAGCCTCGAGGGCTATCTGCCTAAGAGGAGGGATGCCTTCGTGGAGGACTTTCTAAGGGAAACTGGCTCGTATACACGTTACACATGGGGAAAACCACGAAAACGCCCATGCAGCCAGCCCGTTCGCGGGATTCGAACCTCGGACCGAACTACCAGTGTTCAGCGACTTTACCGCTCGGCCGCTGGTGGGCTGAGAAAACTGGAAATATTACCACTTGAGTGAAATATTTATTCAAGCCTCGTGCATGATCTAGTAAAATTAATGCACAATTAAATCTTGAATAATTTAATTTTTTTTTATGAAATACACATACAACTCTCCTTGTGGCATTAATTTGTTATGAAACAATGCTACAGCCAATTCTTCTTTATACTGTTTGAATTTTGCCATTTTGAAGAGTTCATTTCAAATCCAAGGCTTTATATAATATGTTTTAAATTTCTAGGGAAATTAATTTTTAAACATAGCAATAGGCGTATCCTAACTTAAAACTGTTTTAGGCGTTAAAATGAAATCTGCATACCAAGATCTGACAGCAATTGTTTTTTTAACTTTTTGAAAATGGTATAGTTTTCAAAGAATTCGACAGTAATCGAAAGTTTTTTTAAGGATTTTTTATTTCTTTATGTTTATCTTTTTTTTTTTTTTTTTTTTCCTGTTCTTTCTTTTTTTTTTTTTTTTTTTTTTTTTTTTCGTAAACGGTTTAAACTGGTGCTTTAATTTAATATGTAAGTGATTTCTCTAGGTTTAATTTATTAAAAAATGTTTTCTCACATCCATTAAACTGATAACTGTTTACTTATTTGTTCCGAGGTTAATGATTTTAATTCGTTTAATATTCTCCAGATATTTTTGATGTGCTTTAATTAAGCATATTTCTCTGAGAGTTTTCAGTTTCTTAAGCATTTCTCTTTTGTCAATTGGCAGTTTTTTATATTTGGTTTCAGTCAGTTTTTTTTAATAATTATTAAATCTGTCATAATTATCAGACTTCCGTGATTTAAAAAAAAAAAAAAAAAACTGTTTCCAAGAGGAGCACAAAGGATTCCAAGATATTGCTGGATTATATGTGACATCGGAAATACACTTTCTAAAGAGAACTAAGCATTTATAAAAGTATCAAAATGAAATATATTATTACTTTTCTATATTATCTGTATTAATAATTGTATATTACTGTTATTATTACATAAAAAGTGCGTATCTTAAATCTAAATGATATGCAAACTATCCTTGTACCTTAAAACATCTTCTTTTGCAAAATTTTGTATGGTAAATGGAATAGTATTTAGCATATGAAAATAAAAATCTTTCTCATATTTTATTTCCTAAATTCTAGAAGCACAGTTTCCTTTGAGTAAACTTTACTTTTAAAGGAATGATTGATATATCATACGTTCACACATATTACAGAAAAGTATTTATTCGTGTATATCTAAAATTGGTAAATCCAGTCACTCTTCTTCTTCCAGTTAACGATAATGTTGTCAAAGCTGTTACAGGCAAAAAGAAAATCTATATGAGAGAAGATAGCTTTAAGAGGTTTTTGGGAAAGATGTTAATATGTTAATATGTATATAATAAATATCAACAGATTGTGCCAAACTAAAAAGAACTACATAAGTAATAATGACGGTTAATGTTATCATTCGGATATAGGCTGGGCGCATATTCCAGAGATCCATGGTTCGATTCCATGCGAAGGCGTTGCTCATTTTTCAATTTTCCTGCTTCCAAAAACTACCTAATATCTCTAAAGTGGCACCCGAACTAAAAGGGTGGGGGATAGTGATTTTCCACAACCAGGATTTGGCGATTAGGTCCCCTAAAACCAGTCGCCCTTTAAAAGGGGGAGTATATAAGGTATTTCTACCGCCTGCTTAGCGTGCCTTCGTGGTGTAGTGGTCTGCACGCTAGGCGCGCAGCTACCAAAATAATACCAGTAAGAAATGTAAAGAAACCTCGCGCATAAAATATCCATGCTTCAAGATGCACGCGATGTTAATGTTAATGGAACACTGTGAAATTGTTGAGTTTGTTAATAAAAAATTCGTTAAAGTTTTACAAATCATGAAGTAGATAATAAAACAAATTTCAAATTCCAAATTTGGGCTTCCAGATGCTCATATTCCAGTGTAGGGCTACGTTATTCAAAATGTGATGTCTCTAGGTACCTTTTTTTTTTTTTTTTTTTTTCCACAATCCGAGAAACATTCATGCAAATTCTTAATTATTTAATTTCTTTCTGGGCTTTTTACATCATGGAAATTGCTTTAAGCAATAATATATAGATATACATGTAAACATACGAATATAACGAAAAATAAGTGAATTTCTCAAATTTCTACTAACACATTTTTTATTAAAATACTCATATGAATAACTTTTAAATGGTAACTTGCACACATCATGTTTCGGGTCCAAGTAACACTGAATAATACTATTAATATGCAATAAATAGTACTAACATATGCAATAGCAATACTGTAATATGCAAACTTATAGTCTACGTTTTAAGTATAAACTAGAAAAAATATGAACAATAAATACAGAAATAGTATATAAAACACGTTTCAGTATTATTAGATGACAATTTTAAATATACCAGTACATTATATCATCCGTCAAATAATAAGAATAAAATTTCTAATGAACTGAAAAGTACTTTCTTAAGAAAGGTATTTTGCTTACAGCTTCGTTAAAAATGAAAACAAAATATTTTTTTTTTCCTATCATCTTTAACTTAAATTTAAGGATATTCGCTCGTATATATGGTATGTAAATTGTATAGGAATCGTAAATATTTCGAATTTCAAGAATTTAAGATTTGATACAGCAGAAAATTACATCCATTTTTTTCGTTTCTGTTTTCTAAGCACACACACACACACACGAAAATATATATATATATATATATATATATATATATATATATATAAATAAATAAATAAAAATTTTTTTATTAAAATTAAAAATAAAGACATACGGATGTTTGCAATCCAATAAAGCTAACGAATTCTTCTGTAAGACGTTTCTTTTAATGCAGATAGAACTAGAAAGAAATTCTATATCGGAGGTACATAACATACGAGTTCAAAACGTCTCTTTTTAGTTATGCTAGTGATATAAATATTTATTAAACAATTATGTTTCACAAAATGGCAACATTCTATTTGAAAACAACAATATCGTTGCATGAAGGCTGTGGTATATGAAAAGCGCGGCCCTATTCATAATATAATTGCTATAAAAAATGACAAAATTTTGTTAAAAATACATATTTCTTAAAAGGTTAATTTTATAGCATAGTAAGCTTTGTTTCGCTGTAACTTGGATGGCAAATACAATACAATGACAGATAGCCTTCTTACCATGGCCTTTACATTTAGTAGCAAACGGTTTTATACAAGTCTTGAAAACAATGCCACTTTCTTTAGGTGTTAAAAAATCGAATTTCTAAGAACGAATATTATTTACAGGGAAGTTACAAAAAATAATTCCGTCTTCGACCATGCGTTACGGCAAGTAATTGCTAGCACCATTTAAAGAAGCTGTCATTCTAAGATACAAAACTTTCATGCAGTTCCTTTGTAGCTTTCTCAAGATGAAACTTAGTAGCTGAAGGATTAAATATAAGGAAGTCAAATTTAACCACTAAATGCGTATAAATGAGTATGATGTTCTAATTATTTAATTATGGCAAAGCACATTAATAATAATGGCACGGTTGATTGAATCTCTGAATTCCGAAAAATGGAATGAACGTGCATTTTTGATTCGTTACAATGTAACAAAAGTCTGCACTGAATTATTTAAAAAAAAAAAAAAAAAAACCAGTGATATCCTGGAACTGATTCAGAGGAAACTTTTTCCCATGGCTTTTAACTTTGAGGTGCAGTGGCTTTTGGTGCCTGCGGCGATCCATTTGCCGCGCCTTTTAATGCACACCAAAAATAATCTTCTCCGCCCAAGGCGAATCGTCCCCTTTGCCTCCCTCTAGCTATGCGACTGCAGATATGTACATTCAAGTACTTTGGCACGGATTATAGGTGCTTAGAATCTATTGATTCATATAACCTGGAGTTTCATATTACATCGAGTAAGTTTTACATTGGAAAAAGTACACTAAAATAATTGAATTAATGAATTTTCATGCGAAAATGAAAAAAAAAAAAAAAAAAAAAAAAATCACTTTACTCAATGTTAAACTTAGTTAATGTTAAATTTCTCTAAATATTCACTTATTTTCATTTAAGGCAAAATGAATCTGAAAATATATAATTCCGAATTGTCCATGAATTAAAAGAGAAACATGAATTTTGTCAGCTTTTTCCATATTTTTGATGAGAATTTGTACAATAGGATAGCTGTTGAAATACCCTCAGACATCTAAAACTAATTTTAACTAATTGCAGACATTTTTCAGGTTGTCGAATCAATACTCTACAGGTACCAACCATATAAATAAATGGACGTCTATCAAAAATGTCTAGCAAAATCATATCATTTGCCTTATCACAGAATAGAGAAAATAATTTCAAAATAATGTAGAAACAATCTGATTGTTCATCACACTGATACCGAAATCCACTTCCGACCATAGCTGAGCACTTGCCAGTTTGGCATTCGTTGGAAGATGGATGAAGCCATCGACCACTTCAATGTCTCATTATACAGAAATACCGAAGCAATACTCTTAATATCTGTGAAGTCCTTTTCCAAGATCTAAAATATTACAGATTCTACAATTATTTATGATTTCGGCTACTGAGGCTAATATATATAACACACCAGCAAAATCTAAACTTCGACAAAGATTTTTCAGTTCATTCAATGTTTCAGTTCAGTTTGCCTCAGCCTGCAGAGACATTCGTGGATAAAAGATGTTTCTTTGATTTTTGTAGCTCCGTGTCTTTCTTTTCAGCCATATCTAACTTCCATCGGGTGAACCCATTGAATAAAGATCGAGCTGTGTCGTACTGAATGACATAAAGCATCATAAATCGCATAAAATAATGACATATATAATCAACTAGACACATGGATTCAGGACAAGGTAAGTCTACTAAGTCGTGAATATAATTTGCCATAGATTCCCAAGTAAGAAAGTCTTGAATCAGACTCATGGCAGCAACAACGTTCTTCGCCATATTCACAGAAGATGGATCAGGATTACTCATTCTTACTTTATACTCTTTTTCCAGTAAGTTCTGGCAGGCGCTTACAGTTTGTTCATAGTTCCCATCACATAGATTGTATTTGTCTTCGATGCCCAGTAAATAGCCAATGACCCTCCAGAAATGGATCAAGGCTTTGTAATCCTCATCGCTACATCCATGAAGTCCGACGCGGGATTTGAAGAGGACCATGGGTCCAACAAAGGCCCATTGTGTTACTGCCATGTCCCACTGGGAAACGTATACTATGCCATCATTCCTGGCAGCCATTCTTTTTGCCACTCTTGCATGCATGGATCTGACTGTAGCCAAAGATCGATGTGCTGGATCATTAACATCCCACACGTCGCCTTCATACCACTTTTGAATGTGTCGAATCGTCATTAAGTATCGATGCAGAAGGGCAGTTTTGCTCGAAGATTCTCCAGTGGAAAGTAGGGTCTTTATATTTTTTGAGAAGTAGAAAGAGAGCAGTAGGCCGCACAGGTGGCTAAAATTCACACTGGAAATAAAATAACATCGAATTAGTCAATGGAAATGAGAACACATTTTACATTAATGAAATATTTTTAATATTATTTTACATATGCGGGATATTCACACCTATCGTGCACCTCCTAAGTTTCATAACAATAGTAGTGTGTCAAGGTCCGGAATGAAGCAAAAATAACCGGTGGGGGAGATATTATTTGATTTTTGCTAGACTTTAAACTAGCAGGATTCACGGTCTTACCATTCTGCCAATTTCATAGTGAGTGTACAGTTCAGTCAGTGGGACTGCCACATAGAAAATTCTTATTTTTTTAATTAAAATACTATTCAGTCGAAAATAAAAATGTGAGGACGAGTGAAACATACGTAAATGCACTCAAGCCTATTTTTGTGCGCTCTTTTTTTCTGTGCCCACTTTTCATGCGGTATATAAAAAAAGGCCATCAAATGCATAACACGAATGAAAAGTAATAAAAAATTAATTTAAACAAAAAGCAACAGATGACAACAGCTCTTGATTAAGAGGAATAATTTCTATATGCACATTTTTAAAATTTCGTATAAATAATATTTAATGTATAAGCAAATAAAACATTAAACAATTTTCAATGTGTAAATTAATTTTTACCTTGTTTGGAAAACATATATCTAGCTACATCGTGAAGTTTTGCGTTATTTTCTATGCTGGACTTGGAGGAGCGACCCTTATTTAGCCCATATTTTTTTTTTAAATTGTGTTAATGCAAACAATGTACTTTCTAGCCATTTATGAAATTTCAGAATACCTTTTATTATCCATTTTCTTTTATGTAGTTCCTACCTCTCGCACGAAAACAGGTTTGACTGCATTTCTCATGTAAAGAAAACCCTACTTTGTCGAAAAGTTGTTTTCCCCTTTTTTTAACACACTACGAACCGCAGTAACTGTGACAAAATACTAGCTCTTCAATGAAACCTTCATATTTAAGGTAACACTCAATTTGACGAAATTAGCGATTTTTGATTTGCATTATTACATTGTGGCTTGTTTATTTAAAGCAATTAATTAATAGCCATTAAAGTTTAAAAGAAATTATTTCTCTGATATATTCCCTTGAAAGATTCCTCCTATTCTAAGATGTATAATTTCCATACAAATGTAACTATAAATGAAGTGAGTCTGACAAGGCAGCTTTTTGCTTCCTTGTACAAAGTAAAGAAGTATTGTAATCGGGGAAAAAAAAATTGGTTATCAGATTTCAACGGGAATATCCCTTTTGACTGCTCCCGAATCTATTTGGACTATTTTTTGCTTGACAACTGTACGTACGGACAGAATAAAGAGCCTTTTTTTTTACATTCTGGATTGAAAAACGGATTCGGAATGCATTTTTTGTGTCGTCTGTACGTACGCATAACTCAAAAATGATTAGCATTGAATGTTGAAATTTTGTATATGGGATAACATCTAACTGAGTACCTCCCTTTTTCATTGCAATCGACAGTTCAAAAGAACATATATTTACCCATCCCACTTTACCCGGCTTAAAAATCCTTACTCGGCCTTTATGTTCGCAATCACTAGTCTTAGTTTTCACTTCCAGTTACAGAAGTGTTTTAAATGACGAACATATTCATGTTTTGACAACTTAAGAGTTTAAAAAAAATTATGAAATAATAGCGAAATCTAACCTTTAATGTTGTCTACTGATTCCAATATTGATATTTGGGAAAGTACGTAGGCTATTCAAAAAGTAACTTGCGTTTTAGAATAAAAAAACAAGCAAATGAAAGTAAAATTTTTTTATTACTTTTAAAAGGCATATTATTCAGCTATTTTTCTACATAATCTCCGTATAAATTAAGACACTTATCCTAATGGTACACGAGCTTGTTAATTCTATCGTCATAGAATGTTGCCGCCTGAGCCTTCAACCATGCAATGGACGCCTGTATGCAGTTTCCCGTCATCGTCGAAGCGCTATGTTGCAAGCCAGGCACAAGTGACGAACTTTACCCAAGTCTCGTCTCCTATTACAACACGATCGAGAAGTGATTCACTGTTCGTGATACGCCTCGAGAAATGCCAAAGTTGCTGCCATGCACTGCTTTGTGTGGTCTTCTGACAAGAGTTTTGGAGCATCTAGCACAAGACTTGTGATAGCCTAAATCTTGGGCCACATCACCAAACAACAAAGTTAGTAAAATTTGAGGAAACTCTATTCAGAGCGCCGAAATGGTGAAGTGGTGGATTTCATGAATCTTTTCATCGATTTTCTCAAAGAGTTCAGGATTAACAATGCTCGGCCGGGCACTTCGCGCTTCCTCGTGAAAATTTGTGCGGCCATTTTTAAACATGATGCACCATTGCTTCACTCCGACTTCAGTCATTACGTCGTTTACCGTACGAATTTTGTACGGTGTAAAATTCCCAATAAATTTCAATTGGTCTCAGTTTTTTACGAACAAAAATATCTAATCAATGATCGCACTTCACAACTGGCGGGATTTTCTATTACCGCACATATTTTAAACATTCACGGTGAACAGAGCAACGGCAATACGTTGCCATGAATGATTACAACCGAATGCGTTAAGGATTCTGGAGACATTCCAACACCGGGGATACTAGCACAATCTCTCGTCGCACAGCAGCGACTCGTATTACACTCGTTATTAAAAAAATAAAATAAATAAAAAGTCAATAAAAAATCTGAAAGGTTTCAGATTTTAAATTACGTCCAAAGGGGCGTTTTTTTAACGTCTTGTGTGTTACCTTTATTTATTAAATATCATGTTCTTTGCACTTAAACCATAAAATTCAGTTCAGTAGCAATGTCATAAAATAATTTTAAAATGAGCATATCTTTAGAATTTTCGATACACAGTCCCCCCCCCGTAGAGTGTTGCCATTGCTCGCTTTTAAATCGTTGAGTTTGTTACTAAACAATTCGTTAAAGTTTTGCAAAATATGAAATCCATAATAAAATAAATTCTAAATTTCAAATTTGGTCTTCCACATGCCCATATTCGTAGGAGGATTTCGTCATTCAAAATTCGATGGCTCTATGTATCGTTGTTTTATCACAATACGAGAAATATACATACATTTATGCAGATTTTTCATTATTTAACTTCTTCAAATATAATGCAGGACTCTAACATTCGGTGGCAACAGTTTGAAAAGTAAAACGAATATTTATAATGATTCAACGCAAAATCGCAAAACGAAAACAATAGTCCTTCCGGGACAAAGCCCCTTTGGACTAATTATCCCCTTTGGACTAATTATAAGTTTGACTCCCGAACGACAAAAATTGATCGGGATATATAATTTCAGAATTTGCAATTTTTGAAGTCATTTGCAGCTTGCCTTGAAGAATCGGTTAATTAAGTTAGAATAATTCAAGGAAATAAGTTTAAATGAAGTGCAGCAAAAATGTGTCTAATTCAATAGGCCGTGCAAGGAAGTCATGTAGTGACCATTTCAGATTTTTTCGACCTGTTTCGCGGTTTGCTGGTACCCAGCTTTTTATTTTTTCGTGTTTTAGCCCTGTGGTATTAAACTCAAATTGCATGTGGAACGAATGAATGAACTAGAAACAGCTAAGTAACTTCCCCCTTTTTTTTACGCAAACAAACAAAAAATTACAAAATATTTTAAAACTAAATTAAAAATTTTATTTACTAAATAATTATCAAAACATAGATAAACAATAATAATAATAATGAAGCAAAGAAAATTATTTCAATTTATACTTATTTTCTTTCTGAAATTTAGATGAATTTTCTGCAAGAAATTTCTCTTGGTTACACCTTGTAATTCAACTTTATTGATAACTAAATATCAAAATTTCATACTGATATTTATTTAAAATAATTATAAGGTATTGAAATAACCACTAAACAACTTACTTTTAATATAAACCAAAAATAAACAAATTACGAAAAAGTGGTACAAAATTTGAAAATAAAGACAATCTACTATCTTTCTTTTACTATTAAATTTTTCTTTGATGAATACAAAATAAATAAGTATTCTGTTACGTAAATAATCACAAACTTCTTTATTTTTTACTAAAACTTTCAGCTACAGTACCTCGTGTCGTTTCGATTTTGATAAAATTTGTGAACCTGAAGAAGAATTATTAGAATCTTAATTTTATCACATGTTATAAATGCTCATCAGGCAGTCTAATTCCTTTTTTAGACTTATTAACTTAAAAAAAAATTTAATTAAGGATATTTATCTTTTGACAAGTATGAATAACAGTTAACGAAATGTGCATTATCGAATCCTTAAATAAGATTTATATCACAGTGAGCTCTTTCTAGGGCGTACTCCCGCCCGTTTTTAATGGTTATTAAAAAAATGTAAAATTAGACTCAAAATCAATAAAAACTGAAACTTTTCTTCATATTCTTGCCATAATAATTAATTTCGTGTTAATGCTAATTAATTTACGGGAAACATATACGCGGGGCACGTAAAAAATGCTTCGGTCCCCAAATACGGCTTCGTGACCAGTTTGAGACCACTGTTTTAGTCCTCATTGTTTAATTACACTGATTTATTATTTTTGTGTCCTTGTTGTTTGATTTCACTGTTTTAGTCCAGTTTGAAACCACTGTTTTAGTTGTTTAGTAGTATAAAAGCGCTGCAGCATTACGGCTATCGACTGTTAAGATACGATATTTTGCGGGATACTGAAGATAAAGATGGTGCAGAAGAATACAAGTTTAAAAATGTGAAGTAGATTCTGACGTTAGGATACAGTTTCGGTGATTCAGAAAATTTGTTGTTGCCTAACGTTCACTTGTCTGACGTAGTCAACTCAAGTGCACGAAATTCCTCGCGGCAAGGAGCGCAATTACGCCTGTCGTTGGTAACGGTGTCGTTGAGCACCTTACAGGTGACAGTGCGATTTAGCTCAGTTCCGCCCCCAATTTTTATGGAGAGCAACCCCGGGAGGACGGGTCCGTGAGCCTCCCACCCCTCTCCCCTTCCACCGAACCTCACGAGAGTACTTT